CTGCAACAATTTCTTCTTCTGCGTTTCCTTCCAACAAGTGAAATCCCAATAATTCTGTTGTAGGATTTTGAATGTACTTCTTCCACCACCGATAATAACACAACCTCTCTCTCTCTCTCTCTCCCCCCTCAGTGTGTGTGTCTCCCCCCTCCTCCCTCTCTGTAGGAGTGTATGTGAGCTGTGTATGTTGTGTCCTCTTGATGGCGCTCTTCAGCTGCATGCAGGTTTACACTAACCGCCTCCGACGGGTCATCGCCGCCTTCTACTTCCCTGAGGTACACACACACACACACACACACACACACACACACTGCAGCTCCTAGAAATCCTCGGAGATCCTTCGAGGGCTTTAAAGGAGCAGTTCACCCAAAATACACAAAGACTTCTATTCCTGCTGTAGTGACACAGTATAAACTGCAGTATAATATAATATATAATATTATATAATTGTTGCACCCATTTATTCATTTATTTGTTTCTAATAAATAAAAACTCCATGTAGCACATACTTACTCAACTTTAAATAAATACAATTGGCCAAAAGTGCAGTAATGATAATGTTTAGGTGACTGAACTGACTGAATTCTGGAACTGTGCAAATATCTGTGCAAACATGCACCTCCAGGTCAGAACATGCAGCTGTGTGTGACTGTTTTCATAGTAATAATAAAGTACTGATAATAATAACAGTAAAGTATGACTGGACAACAGCAGTTTGTAGTACTTTAATAACTTTAATAATTAAAACTTTAATAATAATAACTTTAATAATAATAACTTTATTTGTACAGCAGTAGTGCAGAGCAGGACGATAAAACATTTTCCAATAAATACTGAAGATCAGAACAATTAAATAAAACAATACGACGGTAAAAACATGTCAAACTGTCATAAAAGTTAAAGAACACATTGTTAGAGGTCATATGATTCACTGCCACTAGATGTCGCACTAGAGCAGCAGCATCTCAGATCAAAATAATGGCTGCTACTGCCCACCAGACTCCATTCATAAAACCAGTGATTTTAAGTTGCTGATAATCAACACTTCAGAGTGAACAGAAACAGAATAAAACTCATTAAAACCATC